CCTTTAGGGTCTCCAGCCAAAGTGATAGCTTAAATTCAATTGTTTATTCAGATAGTGGCTGCAATTACGATCATCTAGAAATCTTAGGCCAGTTGTTGTGGTTTAGGTTTTGTGTGTGGCGGCTTGTAGGATGTCGGTAGGCGGGTGAGTTGATTGCGAAGCCGTTCAGAAAAACCGAAATTGTAGCCAACCCAAGTGAAAAATTCTTTCAACAATTTCAAATGTCTGAGAAGTAGCATTTTCAGTACGTTAATATTTTTGACCAAATTAATGCTCAAGATTTTCTCTCCTGGTTGATACTGAAGGGGGAGACACCAGCTGAAGCTGGATGACGGAACACCCAACGGGACACACTGGGAAAAGAGAAGTTCCTACCCTTTTAGACCCATCCGAACCATATATACTAATTTATGCCTAATTTACGCCTAATGGAATGACCCTTCTGTTTTTATTGCACAAGCTTCAAACGAGTCGTCGTCTTCTACACATAGGATCATTAACCTTCATTTGTTACACTTCCGATTCAACATTCAACGTAAGTTTTGCACGATGAAAGCTAATGGAAGGTGCAACACTTTGCAATCGTTAATAGAAATGAAGCGTCAAGAATTTTACAAGATCTGAATATAGGAAAATAAGAAACGTTGGGCGGAACATGTCCTCGGCCAATACTTTATGCATGCATTCACCTTCTGGCCTCCTAATCATAATCTGGAGATCGTAGGCCGACCGAAACATAAGGTTTGCGGGCGAGAGAAACACGATTTATGTCAAAGCTTGTCTTCTTTTTACCTCTCAAAGTGCATCGTCATGGTGCTCAGATTGTCATCCCTCCCTCAAATGCTCTACTTTTTTATCTCAAACTGTCGCAGCTCAAGATGCAGGGCCTGCAAGAAGTTATGGACTTTCTAGACCTTCCAGGAGGCTGAAGATAAGGACTTGGTTGGGGTGAAACAATCTCTGGAGGAAAGACGAAATGCACACAAGGAAAATATAACTGGTATGACCTTTCGCCCCACTCCCATGTGTTAACGAGCCTTTTTCTGCTTCTGAATAAATCAACCGTTCGTTCTGAAACGACTCCCTGGGTAATTGAAAGTTAACTGCCTCAGGAGCGACTGTCTGTTTATAGCCTAATGGGATTATGGATGTGATACCTGAAGATCCTTTTTAACTACTAATCCCCAAATCCATTTGGTTTGGCAACAGTGTGCTCGTCAGAATGTTTTTAATATTTCACACAGTGAAGCATTATTATTTGCTAGACGACCTTTCGGACAGAAGTATCGTTCGTATTCACATCAAAGGCAAGAATATGAACGGTAGTTTCTGTTCGAAGCACCATTCAGTAAATAATACCGTTTTGCTGCGTGAAACATCGAACAAACAGTCTAAAACGAAATTGCATGCTGCCGCAGTGCAAGAGTTCGACTCTTACATTAGAAAGCTACTCGTTTTCATTTGAAAAATTCTGTCAGTGTACAAAACTTTCAGCCGTCACGATGTCTTTATAAAAATCAGAAGTACTGTCGGTGCATCTCGATGGATTTACTTACGAATTTGCATCGTTCTCTTAATATTCAGTAGAAACCAACGCATTGATTTTAATTAGAAAACTATAACAGCATGTGGGTGTCAAACGTTCCATTGTGCGTTTGTTGAATGTTAAATCGAAGAAGGGTCGAGTGCCAGTGAACCCTCAGAAATTCCTTAGTAGCATCTGATTATGTTGGAGTTTTTTTATTCTAATGTGCAAACCATGGACCACAGGCAGGATATACCTCAAACCGAGCACGATGGCCTGCAGTGGTAGCTGGATCCAGAAAACATATCTGAAGATTAAAGACGCTGATTTCCGTTTTCTGAGGCTGAAGTATCTGTTGGAGTTTTCGACTTACTTGTTCGTCACAACTTCCTACCTAGTGATGGGCCGAAAGTTCAGTTCCGGGTTTTGGAGCTTCCAGGCCGAGTAGATCTTGTAGCTGCCAAAATATGGCACGTCAGTTTCTGAAGGGTATTTTAACTTGTAAACGAAAGTAGGAGGAGTTGACTGAGCACTGCAGGGCTGTGATTGTGAAGATGAGAGAAGTACACAAATATATTCAGGAAAGTAAGTCGAAGTCGATGTTAATGAGGATTTCAGTGTTCTAAAATAATTCTGTGAACTCGTGTTTCGTCGTCACGAATGTAGGGGCCAATAATAGACAATTATCTGGACCATCACTTAAATAATGTCTTCAGCCTGCAGCCATGAACTACTGAAAATAAATTTGGTCGCGTTGAGTATACGGCACGGATTTCTGTCTGAGAAGCCTTGCACAATGTGCCGTTTAAAATTCATCCATGACGCAATTAGCAGTAGAGATGAAGGAAAAGTGGCGGTCCGACACTATGATTTCACCAAAGTTTTTGACAAAGTGTATCATCCTGCACTCCTTCAGAGACTAAATTCGTTACGGATAAGTGGCTGGTTGCATGAATGGATTGACTCACTTATGATGAACTTCATTTAAGTCGTTAAAAGACGCTCGGTTTCCAGGAATATAACCAGTGGAGTGATTTAAGGCCCAGTTCTGGGACCCGTTCTCTTTACAAAATACGTAAATGGTATAGTCACCTGTTTTAAACCAGGGGGACTCTGAGAGAAGTGTACACCTTTCGCCCCAACCAATGTAGCAACATCAATTCAACCATACAAAGTGATCTCGACAAACTAAAAGGGTGGCGTGACACGTGGCTTATGCTGCCTAATGCACAAGGGTCAGGTTCACGCTCTTCGGCGAACGGAGTGCGTTAACTAATCTAGGGCCCAACACGTTGCAACCCAACAGTCTCACCTCTCGATCCTTCGCCACTCCAATGTTTTAAGTTTCAAAACAGCAGCCAACTTTATTATGGACATTCTAGCGCACTCGGCACATGAAACCAGGGGTATGCACTTGCGGTCACACGATGCATTCTGGAAAAAGTTTATGTGGAAACTCTACCTTTGCGTATCTTTACCACACAACAAAAAATTAGACTGACCTGCGTACTTGTACTCCATGTAAGCTGACAACGGATCAGTCACCGCTCAAATATCCATGAATTGCACGTTGACTTAAACATGTTTTGTGTTGAAAAATGAGGTATTTATAAGGAAGTTTTTGCGGTTCATTATCTTCCATTTAGTGAATTCATATCACAAAAACCGCTGGAAAGTCTGTAATGAAGCAATGTTGGATGAAAGTTGCCTCAATAATCGCAAGACAAATTAATCCCTTACATTCTATTGCCCGCCTTAATTTTCCTTACCACTGTTACTGTTCAGAAACTTTAAAACGGTCACCGCAAAAGAAGCTTCATATATATTCGCGGGGACACAGCCGGGAGGTAGGTCACTTCATCGAGGAAAAATTCGAAAACTACAAAAACGTGGGAAGCAGACCAGTTTAAGTGCTTTTTCCATCGATGCCGTACACGAAATAGTAAGTGCTTTCTCAGCACGTCGATATGACATGGTGAGATTGAAGTTTAATATGACTCGGTAAAAATGTTGTTGAAACGAGAAAGCAGAAAAGCATGGACAGAAGCGAGAAACGAAAGAGCTAGGTGAGACGACTTGAGGAGGAGAATGAAGTTCCTGCACTTTAGACCCATTTGAACTGCGTATACTGTAATTCACGTGTTTGCAAACAAATACATAGTTTTCCAACATAGTAGCAGCGCACACACTGTGTGCACTCGCAAAACCCCCAGTAACTACAATTTCTTCCCGAGAACATATTATTCACTTTTTAGCTATTATACATTTTCCAGATGCTTTCCCGCATCGCCGCTGGCTGAGAACATTCGATACACTTTCTTCAATTCTTGTACACCTCGTACTTGTTTTTGGCTCTCGGTCTGCTGGAGCAGTACGCTTGAAATACGTGGTCCGCAAACATTCATGTTTTGGCTCTTTTACTACGCTTTGTTCTTAATAGAATTGTTAGCAGCGGATGCTGGACCTATAGTACACGGGAATGGAATGTGTCCTCCCACATCGCAGATCCAATGAAACCGATAATTTTGCTAACGGGCTAACCATTCGGGCGAAAAGGGCCTAAGGATAGTATTCATCTTATTTTACATGTCCAGGGGTATTTGCATGAGACTAAGATGCATAGAGAGTGATTACTCAGTTCATATTCACCTTCTGCGAATATCCTGGTCACTGAACAGTCATCCGTTCAGATGCAAAGGGAATAGCATGCGACGCGTGATCATACGTATGTGCATATACGGACGTACTAACACATCTCTTTAGGGATAGAAGGAGGGGTGATTAATAGATGGTGTTAGTTTCAGTTAGTCCTAAGAAAAGGGGTGTTAGTTTTCCTTAAAGTGACAGTGACTGCTCGGCATAAGCTTGAACTCATCAAATGCTTAATTGAGTGGAAATTAAGGTGAACATCTTCACATTCTGATACAAAGGTCTCAGTGAAGAGATGATAACAGCAGTTTTGCTCTTAAATTTACAGATGCATATCAGGTTCACAGATATGGTTGTCACATTTAGCAGTTAAAAAGTTTTGGCGACAATCCTGACCAACTCCGATTCCTCACAGGTAGTCAGAGTTCCAAGGCTGAATGAAAGGAAGTTGTGCACAACATAAGAGCGATGCAAGCTAGGCCGCATGCTGAGTTCCTGAGGTAAAGCTTTTTTTCATAAGTAAAATGTTTCTGGCGGAAACACAATGAAAAACTAACCGATGGAGACACACAAGCGTCATACACAAGGGAAAGGGAAAAAGTTTAGCCATTTCATGCCTACAGAAGCGATACAGCTTCATTTCGTATGAGGATATGTCTTTGAAAACTATACTTTGATTAATTTTAACTTCATTATAGAATAACATCATAGTTGCTACACAGTATATTGTTTAGAAGACTTTTCAACGTAGGCACTGTGGTAGAGTGCAATTCGACATTATATCTGTTTATTTAATGAGGCACACTTTGATTCAGTTTAATTTGCTGGATGATATTCCAAGTACAAGTTATTTTTCACAATCATATCAACGCAGTCGAATAATATATTAAATAAACAACTCTAAAATTGAATGACTTGAAGTTTCTGGAAATGTAGACAGAAATAATTAAACCTTATGAAGGTCACTTGTTTTTGAAGCAGTATAGTGATAGCATCTCTGGCTGTTATTTTCAATTCAATAGCTCTGAGAATGAGGTCTTTTGATATAGGTATGCACCTTTTGAGAAGTGCTGGCAAGTAACCTCTACATTGTTTCGGTAAAGTATCATTGATTCGATAGATTTCAGCAAAAAACAGAACATTATTTTATTTAGAATATTTTCTACTAAATAAATAGTTTATATCACAGTTTTATCACATCACAATTGAAGATGTGAAATACCTATGTCGTGAACAAGTTGATAGATGGACATGCCTATCGTCAAACAAACAAAAGGTTAGCTAACATACTCTAATGTTACTAACGAACATTAAACAAGTAGTATCTAACGTAAATTTATATTCGATTTCGTGTAGTGTATACAGATAGAGGAATTTATGTTGAAGTTGAATTGAACTCAATACTACAGAGAACCACATTCCTAAAGTCTGCTGTACTAAATGAAAGAAACTATTTTTGAAAAGTTGACTTCAATAACTTGATCCCATTATCGGTTGAATGTAAGTTATATGTGTGGTAGTTTAGCTACAATTTTAAACAATATGTTCAATTGTCTGTTTATAGAAAAAAGGGTCAGAAGTATTACAAAAAGTAAATAAAATTCTATGATATGCTTGTTTGCACAGATTCACATTTATTACTTCCATTTCTGAGACAAATTTGCAAAAAATCTATTTGTATGAGATGAGAATAATTCTAAAATATAGGTTATTAGGATGATCAGAGTTAAAATCTTTGCATATATGTTAGATGACAGCACACTATGCAATTGTCCCACCTCGACTGACGATAAATTCAATGACAATCATAAAATATGAGTATCAAGCCAAACTACGTTGATTTTGCCGGTGAGCATGTGCGTTCTGAAAATTTCTTATATCTCTTCCCAAGGAAAGCAGTTACAGTTGATATTTGAATGTGAAAAGACACGTGTATTACTCCTCTTTATATGTATGTCTAGATGTTTGTTGGTTGGAGGCAATCGATGGGAAGCCCTACGGTTTGCCTCCAACCAACTAACATCTACCAATGTGCACCGTGATTCTGAGTTTCCTAGCATGATGGTCACATTGCAAAGGTGATCGACAGGATTCAGTTTGCACTCAGGATAAGAAAATATGAAATTGGTTGCTCTCCCATGAACAATCAATATTTGTATGTCTAGTTTATAATTGGAAGACATTGTTTCAATAATGCATGATGACTGAAAGTTAAGTGAAAATTTGGGCCGCAGCGGGATTCGTACCAGTGACAGTTGGCAGAGTACCGGGCCTCCGGCGCGGTGGTCTCCTGTTCGAATCCCACTACGGCCCAAATTTTCATCTCACTTTCAATAACTGAGAAACGGCTCAAAATTGAATTCAACAGCTAACGCAGTGTTTCTTGTCTTCTAAAGAAATGTAAGGTAGTCATCAGAAAACAAAAGATAAAAATCCCTTATCTGATAAATGAGTCAGCTAATTCCTTGATGTCTGCTATCACGTATAGATTTTGTGTTTCGAGAGGGTAACGTTGCTGTCATTAGTCTACTTGCTGCGTTGCATCTAACAATAACTTTGTTGCACTAAGTTTTTATTTTGAGTTAACTAATGTTGTGGACCTCACTTTTGATCATGTTGGGTTTCCAATCAAACCACAAACTTAATCTGCTGTAAGGCAGAACCAGTCAGCTTATCACCCATATTGCATAGGATTACATCTTAAACAAAGATCCACTTTTAAAGGTTTACTTATGACGATGGTTCATCATGGGTCATATTGTTCTTCCATATAATGTTGAGACTAATAAAGAAGTATGAATGGGACTTCTAGAAGCCCAATGGAAGTAACTCAGACAGTAGTTGTTGAGGAACGCAAGTAAAACTACCTTACCCAATGTGTGTAGAGTCAGTAGCTATTCACATAAAACATAACTAGATAAGCTGAACATGGGAAAAGTATTTTTCGAATTAGTATTTCCACTATTTATTCGAAAAAGTTATAATTCAATTGTTAAACATTTAGAAGTAGACGTTTTCATTACTTTAAAAGCGGAATATATATGAATATAAGCTGATTGGCCACTTTATAAACGCGTCAGTTATTAATTCCGGTTGTACAAGTTATAGAAATTTTTTCTGATTTCTATAGGGCACTTAAAGCTAAATCCAATGCTTGTTAACATTAAGGTGTGCGTGTTTAAGTGAATGAATTCCTTGACTAATGAGTATTTGACATACTCAGATGTATGCTGTTAGAGGACTAAATGACAAGTAAAGAGGTTTACAATTGGATTTAACAACCATTACTTGATGTCAATATATATTGGTGGTTCATTGTTGGTAGTATTAATACTTCAAAATATTCAGTTTAGAGGTTTATGGGAGTTTATTAGTCTGACGTTGGTATTCATCATGGACTGACATTGGTTGGAGAACCATTGGAAATTTATCTGCACTGGAAAGCTACTTCGCCTAGTATGCTACTTCTCAGCAGTGCGTACCCATGACCACATCAGAGATTAAACCCAGGATATTCAGCTTTAAAGTAACTTTCTGGCAGCGAAACCCAAAGGCCCTGGATGTACTGGCGGGGATTCGAATACTGAGATGAAACACTTGTCTAGTGCTCTCAGATTTTTAATGGTTCTGCAGCTAATTTAAGTCCATGATCAATACCGACTTCCAAATATGTTTTTTACCACGCTGAAACTACTACCTAAACCAGGGGCTTAGTTGAAGTAGGGACAACAGCCGAAGGAAAAGTCTAAGTTGAAATTGTTTGCAGATATAATCACATTTCTGTGAACGGTCATAAATGGCCTTTACACCGAAACTGCATTTCTTAGTTACTGTTAGGTTAATCATCATGGCGATTAAGTTAGGCAGTGATTTGTGACAGTACCTCATGTAGATAATAAAATCTCATAATACATGCATTTCATTCAGAAGTAACTTATTCACTGAAGCACATTTTTAAAAATTCATTCTGATTTCAAACCAGCAAAGTGGCTAGTCTAAGCGCAGTTTACATGTAGTCACAATGTTCTTTCTGCCCAGTTTAACTATCTACTCTTATTTCGTATGCCAATTCGGGGTTTTTTGGGCTACATGTAATTGACAAAGGATACTAAAGCATTTACTAACAAAAACCTTGACCATATCGGTTAACTGTTGAACAGACAAATGGAGTTTATCATTTTGACTATCTGCGATAGCCATTGTTTGGCAGACTAGTGTTGATACTGGGTAGTGACCACCGGAAATCCAGTGGTCACTGGTTCGATTCCGACGGCGCTACAAACTTCCAATCCACCTTCTGTCATCACTCAGTGTCGCTGCTAGTCCACCAAACCATGGCTATCTCAGATAGTCGAAACGATAACCAATATGATGTTTTCCCTCTCTAAATCTGTTAGATTTGGATTCAGCTGAGAAATCCTGTCTGTGCAGCCAGTGTAAATACTATTAAGTGGTAGTAAAGTGTCAAGAATTCACATGGTAGCCGGGCAAAACGCTTAATGGTTGAAGTGAAATCAAAATCTGGTTAGCAGTCCGGCATCGTAGTTCAACTGGTAAAGCACCTGACCAGAAACCCAGTGGTCTCTGGTTTGAACCCGGCTGCTGTCCAGATTTTTATCTCACCTTCAATCATCACCCAGTAGGTACCTTATCCAAAGGTCATAATCTCAAAAAGCACATTGTTAGATCATAAAAGTGTAAGTTGATATTTCTGAAATTGACTCATTGTTACTGTTTAATGTCCGATATGTATATAGTAAGCAGAAATTAGCTGAGATCTTAATGAAATCATCAAACCACCAGGTTAAGTATTACCATGGCTTTGTGCTTCACCAAAAATACACAGAGTAGGTGTTCCACTTTGCCCGGTTCTAACAATGTCTTGATCTCCCTGTCATCCAGTCGTGAAATGGTTAGGTGACGCCCTAGAACCTGTAATAGGGACAAATTCTTACCTAATGCCTTCGAGACACCTTTACATTCATCGACCGCATACACAACACCAGTGTTTCTCACGAAAGTATAATATCACCTGACGTCGAATTACTCTTCAATGATGTTCTACTCATAGAAAATATTTGTTTTATACGTAGCAATATAGATGACTACAACTTGAACATTGAAATATTAAATGTTCATTTGAAAGAATTATTGTGAGGACATACTCTTAATGTATAATTCACTTTTAGTGACACAGTATAGGAAGGGGAAGGTGGAATTGCCACAGTCATTTTAACGGCAGATCGCTTCATGGCAAGTAAGAAAAATGGTCGATTGAAATCACCAATCGACAGATTTCAGTCGTATTCCTTGTTTCCATACTCACCATGACGACGATCCATTAATTAAGCCTTTCATCATGTTACTCAACTCGGTGTTCAAACTCAGTCATTTTTACAGAATTTCTTTGATATCCTGAAGAATACTAATTAATCTAAATAATCCTGACGTTTTAGGTCATGAAAATTTAACTTTCCCTGTTACAATGCTTTTTGATTGCTTTTCAGCATTCATAAGCATTTGGATTGCTTTAGAATGAAAATGATATTTTGATTGCTATATGTTTTACTTAACTTATTGCCATGCCTTCATAGATAAAACAATTTGTACATCCCCACCAAAAATTCTCCATAAATGCTACTGTACTGACTGGTAAACAAAATGGCCGAATAGAGTCTTTTCGCTGCATCACTTATTTTTATTTTCTTGCATGCCTTTATGAGGATTTTTGAGAATACCAAATACGGACAATAAATTAGGTCCGAAACTTAATCCAGTAAACAATACCGTTTCATTGTTTGATGCATCTTGTAAACGAATTAGGATGAAATAAACACAGTATGCCTGCGTAGAAAAAAAGCAAGCAGCTATGTCTGGTTTAAGTTTCAGACAGTTTCATCGCTAGGTAAGGCCTCAGCAAATTTAAGAATCTGTCCCCAACCCGTTTTGTAAATAGGTCTAAAAGAGGTAGCCATGTCAGTCCTGTGACCTGTCTGAACCATATGTTTCGTGATAGAAGGACTTGGACTTTTGCTACCAACGTTTATGG